AATCTTCTCACCGAAATTAATTTTGAAATTAGAGTGCAGTACATTTTCGTTAGTGTACTTACATTCTCACCCTCATAATTATTGTCATTTGCCTCAGCTATCACAGCAGCTGCATTCACATCCAACTTTTGCAAAAATCTATAGTGCATTCTAATATAACTAGAAATACAGAAAAATTGCTCTCATTAGGCAACCAAAGGAAAAAAGAGTACCTTTTGAATCAACTTTGACACAAAGAAATTGATTTCATAGATATTTTCAATGCAATATAAACAAAGATCTATTTCTTAAGTGGCCACTTCTTTCAAGTATGACTTCTGCTCTCTAGTCTCACTGTTAGAAATTATTCAGAGCTTTGCTTCAATAGTGTTACCTGACTGTAAAAAAAAGAATACTAACAGTGTGCTCTTCAAATTAAAATAAAATCAATTAAGTAGTGAGCTAATTTCAGCTCATTATACTTAAAGTAAATCAGAAACAATGTTAACATTCAACCTAAGGTAAGAGAGCTAGTAACTCTAGGGTGTGGACTTCCCCTTTTCTTCAAACTAACCTTTCAGCATCAACCTCAAATATGAGTATTGTATCTCAGACCTTATTTTACCCATGACTGGGGAGGGGGGAATTAAGTAAAATTGGTTTTAGTCATGTTGGCCATGCACAAGACATGTCAAATTATACAAGGAATGTACAGCTTTGCCAGGCTCCCACTTGTATCTGCTGAGCATTTCTTTACCTGAATGGCTGTATTTCTCCTCAGCAGTAATTCGTAGTACTTTAGACACTGATAAAATTGAATAATAACTTTCTTCTTTCTATTTAGCTTAAAAAAGTTATAGTTAAAAACAGTCACCTTACTCTGTTCTGGTATTAAAAGCAGAGGCTACTCGAAATACGAAGTAGTGCATTCTCTGAACTTGTTAGTTTGAGCTAACTTACATGAGGGATTATTTTGCACTAGCAGTTTATATTTCATGAACCTTTTTTGTATTTAAATATTTAGATCAAACATAAAATATTTATATTCAATAATTGTAAAAATAGAATATGTTATTTAGAAAACAAAGGAATTTTAAAATATTTAAACATATTTAATACTAAGTAAGTTTTTAATATATTTTAAATATTTAAATAAATTCAATAATAAATGCTGAAATGTGTAAATACCTCTGCCTCTGTATGCATGCACAGAAACCTGCTAAAAGTAGTCTGACAAAGTAGACCTTGACTGAGTCCTGATTCCTATTTACTTTGAAACCCCTGAGCACTTGCTGAGCTGAGAAAACATGCCTTGCCACAAGCAAGAATGATGTCCTTTTGTAAGTATAGCTTACGTAACTTATATTATATAGCTTAATATAAGCTCCTCAGAAATTCAAGATACTCTTCTGCGTATGATAGAGAAGTGAAATTCTTACAATCTATCCATAAAACTTGTATATCCAAGTAACAAGGGGTGACCCTGCAAAACCTCCCACCGATCTTACTGAGATGTTGTTTTACTGCAAATTACAGTGAGAAAAATATATTTTTTTCATGTCAATAAGCTGTCATACAGTTAGATTTGGCTACATTTTTTACTTGCGTGCTCAAACAAAACAACAGCATCAGTAATGTACAGGGGAAACTATAGTCACAGGCAACACGTACATAAAAAACAGGAAAAAGACAGCAGAAGTTTAGTGTCAGCTTTTTGTTGCCATTATCCTCCCGCACTATGGACATGCGTTTTGTTGTCTGGCTCATTTTCTCACATGATAACACGCGATTCAAAGAAAAAGAATCTTTTCCAAACAGGAAACAGAGAAAAGCTGGCTAATTTCCTTTATATTTCACCCTGTTCTTATTGCTAGGGCTTATCTGTGAAGCATGGGGACAGTATGTTTTCAACGCAATAGATTTCTATGGACTTAAATACCATTTGCCTCGTGGGAGGATGTTTGATGATTAAACTATCACTACACTGAATATAGCAGCAGCCTCTGTGTAAGGTCAGCATATGCTGACTGGTTTTTCTTGTGAGGCTAAAGGTATTTCAAAAGACTCTTATTTTTTCCATTTTGCTATCCGTAAAGGCCCAATCCGTTTTGTGAATTCATTTATTAAAAGGATTAAAGCTGGTTGGGAATCTATCAATGATTTCTTACTGTTTCCTTAAGGGAAAATGGTTTGTTTTAAAAAAATTTAAGAACTTTTTTTAAAAAATATGAATTTATGTCAGTCAAAATTAACCAAGACACTGAAAGAATCTGAGTAATTTAGTAACATGAACAAATGTACAAAGTCCAAGCTCAAAACAATTTATTACATAATGGAAAACAGCTGATAGATGCAAAATATTTTTGTAGTGGCCTTCTCCTTTGTGGACACTCAAGAGTCCACATTTCAGCCAGTGTTAGTGTGATGTTGGGAAAACAAAAATCCTGAGAATTTATAGAAAACCATTTCATACCTACCTTTCTTAGGAACAGTCTCTTTTGGAGGCTCTGACTGTGCACGTTGAGAGTATTTTGAAAGTAAATGGAGCTGTGGGCTTTGTACCTGACTCGAGGATTGCATGGCAATCCATTCTGCGTTACTCTTTGGCAACAGCTCTCCCCTCATAAAACAAAATTTTGAGATGGACCATGTAAAACTAGAATTTACAAAAGCATTCAGTGTTTTCCATGTAGGTGAGTTCCACATCCATGTTGTTTATGACATTCTTCTTGCCTACAGTACTCAAAATTTCATTCCAGTAATGCTCCAATCTTTGACCCCAGTCACAGTGGATCAGGTGTTTAGTTTGAAGGGAGGCCATAATTTGTTCTTGGAAAAGGTTAATATTAAACATTTGATTAGATGTATTAATCACTCCGCTTATATTTCTTTCAGTGTTAGTCTTCAGTGTGAAAATGATCATGCATAACCCACAAAAGCCAACTGATAGTCTCTGCAGATCATCTACAAAGAGAATATGTGGCAAAAGAATGCTTGATATTTTTTCTTCAATTAAATGTTGTTCAATTAATTAGAAAACATACAATTTCTGACAAATTTAAAAGCCTGAGCAAAAGCCCTCATTCTCTTGTACTTATCGATTAAAAATGGTGAATGTGTAACCTCCAATTGACAAGGCAGGATCCTATTAGCTGAGCATAACTCTATGGATCATAAAGAAGCCTGCATAATTTATTTATTTTTGTGAAAACTGGTTACAGCATAAGCAACTAGAAGCTCAAAAAATGCAGTGCAATGAAGAAATGCAGTAATTCTACAGCCCAAGTGGGTTAGCCAAGTAAAGAAGTCACTGCACCTGAGGTACTGAGACAGCTTTAGACATGAACGACCCATTCATTGCCTTCTAAAAAGCTTCTGAAGTTGAGCAGTACAAGCAGCGCACGTGTACACTGTCAGACCACACAAGTGCCATGTCAAAGAATCATGTAATTTTTAATGTTGTGGAGTTTAATAAGAGTGAATTACAGTTCTTTTTTACATGGGGATAGCCCTCTGGAAAAAGAATAAAATTAAATTAGTAATAGGAGTGCATTTCATCAGTGCATACTAATAGCCTGCAGTTGTTATACAAGCTTCCCCATTCACATTAGAGAAGTAACCAATTATACACATCACTATCTTGAGCTGTGAAATTTTAATTCATGCCCCCAAAAGATTAGAATATCAATTACAAACGCTGTGCAAGTGCAAAAGATAAGTGTGAAGCTGATCCCCACAAATAACACAGTTAAATTGCTTTTTCCTTCTTAAGTCTTATTGTGGAAAAAGCTTTTTTTTCTTTTTACATATATATATATATATATGATGCATTCTGTTGCCACCTCTACACAAGTGTAAATTCCGCATCCCGAGCCACATGCATACTAATAAGGTCACAAACACCAAAGTCTGATTGTAAATACTACCTCTGCTATAGTCATTCTCATAGCACTGACAGGTGAGGGCTCAATATCCACCAGCTGAACTGCATTAAAACTCTAGATGCAGAGATTGCACAAGGATGAAAACACACAGCAGCAAAGGTTAGAAAGGCAGGGCAAAGACAGTTAGAAAGATTCTGCTCACTGTATTAAGAACAACCCAAAACTTTAGAAATAACCGACTCTATACAAAGGAGCTGGAAGAAAAATAAAAATCACAGTTTGTTAAAATGGAAAGACAAAGGAAACGGTGTTATAGGTGTTGGTATGTCTGGAAAAATCACTCTTGCGTTCTATTAACAGGGTTCTTGAATTTAATCACCTGAATTGGAGATCAAGACATCTCCGTCCAAGTCAGTTTACTAATGAATTCAAGTAATAAAAAGCTGCACAAGGTTAACTTTTTTAAAGATCTAGACTTATTTTAAACTTATTTCTTAAAATAGCATTAGTAAAGTCGGTGAGACATCAACAATCCACTTTTCCTAAAGTGCTGTTTGGAAATGTATTTACATACTATGATTTACTCAATTTTAATGTCATTAATACTTGCTTTGGAAGCAACACATACACCAAAATAATATTTTCTGAGATTATTTTGGAATGCAATGTTTTAACAGTATTCTTTCTAAATCAATAATTTCTTATATGTACCTATAGGTATTCCTTGAGCAATTTAAAGGTACACAGACACTTTATTTGACATAGCATCACACATGTAACCCAGTATTAGTGAATTTTATGAGAACCTTACCAGCATGATAAAAAGCTAACAAAATGTAGTAAGAATTACGCTGAAAGCAGAGAAACACAGGACTGCTAGTTACAATCTGGAAGCAAAAAAAGATTCTGCTCCTCTGTGGATGATGTCGAGCCTGTTTGATGCTTTTGTTATGATTACCCACCTACTGCAAGCAGAGCTGGTGGAATCAGGCCACTTGCCCTTTCTTTTCCAAAAATACAGAATGAGGTTAAACCAGACTGGGATACCTGTGAGCACTATTCTCTTACCCATTTATAACAACATTCTTTAAAATAGAGCAAGAACAAATAAATCAAGGAATTCAGCAGGGTTCTTACAGTGTCACTGTCACTTGGTTGGAACTGGAAAGGCTGCGGTTTGTGAAACACAGAGTTCTCCTGTAAAAACAGCTGTAGATTGTAATCCCGCACCACCTAAGAAAATAAAAAATGGCATTTAGATTCATTATTTTGTAAACTTGAAAACATGTTCTATAGTAAAATTAGTACAGTGTTTCAGAGACCAAACCTGCAGCAGAACCTTGAATGCAACAAAAGGAAATACAGGACCTGATTCTGGACAGTACTACCCGCAGTTATTGAGAAGTGACTGGCAGGACACACACTGGGTGACAAAGACCTAAAATATACCTGCCATTAACCTACAAAAAATACCACAAATTCAAAATGGGGGGAAAAAAGCCAACTACCAAGTATACAGTACGTGGTGTCACTACCATAAATATTTTCCTCTCCTCTTGCGGATAATTTCTTGTGCACAATTCTTTCTTAAGCTGAAACGTCTTATTTTTTACACAAATTACTAGTTGCAGGAGCTGAAAAGACTATTTGGAATAATGCAGACAAAATCAGTTACAAAATTCATCTCTTTTTATTAAATGGCTTTCAGAGAAAACTCTCAAAGCTTGCATTTTGCTAAACCAAAACTACTTCAGCTACTAAATTTGTTTAATGATACATTTCAGATAGCATGACACATATCCCTAAACAAATCTCTTATGTCACAATTTACACATATTTACAAAGAAAAACTCAGTGATTGCAATATGAAAAAATAGTATCACTGGCTGAATAACTAGAGAATATTCACTGCTTCAATTGATGAAAATGCGTAAATAGCAGCATGAAATTATAAAAATCTACTACCAAACTGAGGGTTTAAATGTACAGATAAATAATAAAGATGGTATTTATCCAGAAATAGCAGCAGCATTGTGTATGACCAAGAATTCTGAATACACTGTATGCACAATGGTAAACACAACATGTTCTCTAACGCATCAAAATGTTGATGCTTGTGTTAACGAAATACTGAACTGTAAAAAATTAATCTTCAGTTAAAGAAAGTAAATAGTCCTCCAGGGCCAATAAGGCACTCATTTAAAACAGTAAAGTACATAATTACTGCGCCAATTTGAGCAGTTGTATGTAAACACATTCAAATGCGTAGAAAACATACAGAGAAGGCATACAGGGAGTCTATATCAGGAATTCCCATAAATAGAAATTCAGAACATACTAAAGAAGGAATCATCTGCAGCTTCAGATGATGCTCAGCACTGACCATGGCATCAAGATCATTTATGTTAAACAGCTCCAGCCTTCACATGGTTCTCTAGATGTACGTGAACACCGACCGTAGCGCACAACTCTGTGCCATGTCAAATATATGTAACTCTTTTAAACCAACTTCAACTAGGAAAAACCCCAAAGTGTAGATACTGAGGACGTGAAAACCTACACAGTTATTTTAATGCAATAAGCTTTCACTGTAGACTTCTAACTCAAAAGCAACTCAGTTCTTCAAAGAGAAACCATCTTTACAACACTCATTAAGAAATTTTCCCTCAAAGCAACAATACTTAGTTATAAATGAGAACAACTGTTATCACAACATGAGACTTGGAAGAGTGTGCAAGTCCACTAAATTAATACCCAGGAGCATTTTGCACAATATATTTGACAATTGTTAGAAAGAAAATAAAAAGACTCCTGAGCAGCACAGTAGTCTCAGGATTAAGCAGCAACTTTTCCAGATGGATTTCCAGTTATTCAGAAATGAAGTCAACGTTCTCACACAGTTTCTTTATGAAGTCAATGTCAATTGACATGTTAAAATAGACTTGAAATCAAATGTTAAATATATACCACATGCAGAAAGAAGGATAGTCAGAGACGCACATAAATGAAATTATTTGTCCTAGGTTGGTGAAGCTTCTTACCAGAAACATCACAGAAATGTAACTCAAAACAGCAAATGGAATTTCAGAAAATGTTCCAAAGAAAATCAGATTTTTTCCATAAGAGAAGTGCAAGAAGTACAAGTCTTGACTAAGACTGTTCAAGTGAAAAGGAAGTTAAATGGCTTTTTCATATGCTCAGTGTCAGAGGGTAATACTTCCTTGATGTGCCAGAGGCGTGACATGGGTCACCCCAACCTAGCAGTAATAAAACCTCCAAAGCTGCAAGAAATGATGCTACGATGAACTGGGAGAAACCTTCATTTTATACAGAAAAGTTGTTTTGGAGACGTTTCCCTCCATCTGCATTAGCATTAGGTGACTGACAATCTCCTAAGCAGCTGAATGCAACACAGTCCTGCCCATCCAAAGCAGCCACCTCCGGCTCTCTGACATTCAAGAGGTAAGCAGGCACTTCTGGGAAGCAACTTGTCTCATTCTAAAGGAAATACGATTTAATTCCATCCTGTAAACAGAAATACAGTCCAGATGGAAAAACGAAAGCATTCCTACCAATGATCTAAATGTCTTTTCTAAATGTAGCTTGGCAAGCTTGTGATCTTGTACTTTAACAAAGAACAGGTGAGGTATTAAAAAACCCCCAATAAATATTTAAAATCTTTGCTTTGATGGCAGGCTGGTTTTTATCCCAAATTACTGAATTGCTAACAAATTTGTTACATGTTTAACACTCAAGCTACCTCTGAAACACATGCATAGCTTTTGATATAGAGTTTCTACTCCGGATTCACCTCTTCTTTTTGAGTTGACTGATTCCTGCAACATGGACCTACAGGAAATGCTGAAAGTTCAAAAGAAAGGATGAGCAAAGCCCCCATCCATGGAATAATCCACCAATTAATGTGTTAGTATTTCAGAGCAAGACACACGTTTTCAGTAGTAGTGTAATACAAATTTTTCTTTTCTGCATTCTTGAACTGCAAGGAGGGAAGAAAATTGGTGCCGATGAGCTATAAACCAGTTGTAAAAATCCTGTTCAGGCCTGACAGCTGTATTTACATTTTTTTCATTCTCCAGGCATTGTACTAACTTAGTAAAGCAGAAACAGAACTATTTTCCTCAAACATACAGCATGACGTTGTTACTGTGTAAAATAAGCCAGACCTGCAGGCTTCTGGCCACACAGAGGCTTGCTAACACAAGCTATCACAAGCTCAGCGCACACAAACATACGACGAAGGTATTCCTACGCAAATGAGCTGTTTAGTTAGCTCAAAGTCCCAGCCAGGCAGCACTCCAAGTATTCTGAACACAAAGGATTTAAGGCAATATTGAGAAATTGATTATGAATATGAAGACATCATATATAAGCATATTTAGTTGAAAGATTCAAACCCAGCATTTGCGGGGAAGATATTTTAAGCCAACCTGAATGATATACACCAAGGTAAATTACTGAAAGTCCTTTTCCAACAGAAGATAAAATGGTATTTGCATTATCTTTATATTTGCTGCCAAGTAAATTCAAAGACAAGCTAGCATGAAGCCAATTTTTAATCCACTCACTTTATATCTAATAAGGTGCGAGTTAGCGTGCTTGTAGGTAAGTAAGGAACGTGTTAAATATGCTTTTTCTACCTAAGTCCCTGCATAAATGAGCTCTGTTTCTGTGAGGGTGGTTAAGGTAAATGTATAAAGGAATATTATGACTGCACCGAAGCAGCTCGTTTGAGCTCAATGGCAATTATATTTTTTTTAGCCTGACAGATGAATTATTTAAGTATCAAATTATCTTGGAAGCCATCACGTATTTCTGATTCTGGCTGCTCGACAAAGCAAACAAACCACGTCTATGACAAGACTCTAATCTGTTTTCTGTATTTGCCATTCTTAATTCAAGGGAGAAAACACGGTAATATTTTGTTTTTTAAGTTGACAGTCAATTATTAAGAAATGATCCAAACAGCTTCCCAGGGCTTTACTGTGATGGATGACTAATGTGGTTCCAGATTACACAGTGCAGAACTCTCAGCTGCAATTTCTCTTTCCAAACATGCAGAGTGAGTATAACTGAGCATCTCTTGATCGCTGTTCTCTAAAGATCTTGTACTGTTTAAATGCACTCAAGAGAATGCAATCTGGGTGGCAATAGGAAAAACTCTCCCCAAGAAAACTGTCTCGTTTCTTTTAACTTAATACCACTCAGGAGTAACCAAAAATAATAACCCTTCAGTTTTGTCATTATTTTGGAAGCAAATCTTAAGCCTGGGAACTTATATATGCTGTAAGTATTCAGTTACAAAGGTTCATTCAGTTAAAACTTACCCTGCTGGAAGTCTCCAGTAAAAACTGGAATGTGTTTTGTACAGCTTGGCATGACTCTAGTTCAGTCCGGCTGAATGCCATTAAATAATCCTTAAGGTGATCATATACATTTCCATCAAGAGCCTGTATGAGGGAAAGAATTTAAGAAAATTAAGAAAAGCAGTAGGTACTTTTGTATTCATGTTTAGATTTGCAAGATGCTCATACAATTTTTTTTAACACATATTCATCTATAATTATTAGCCTGGATAGTGACAGGTGGATGTCTTTCATTTTTGACAAGGGAATGACAGTGCTTTATTTCCATTAGATGGCACTACAGAGCACTGTAATAATATCACATTATATTAAATGATTTCCATCCAGTTGTGTAATACAGCCATAGCAGAACAGTGAGGTCAGGTTTGGATAAGTGAATACGCTCAGGGAGATGTCATTTATGTCAAGAAAGGGACCTAGTAACTCTGAGGATATGGGGCTTCTACAGCCACAGCACTCCTCAAGTCACTGTACAGCGCGCCAAATGACATTACCGAGACATTCAACATCTGTATGCTTCAGATACACAGCTATTTGCTTACTAAAAACCACTGACCAAGAGCTGCCATTTCACATAAACACAACATATCCCTTTTGTGCACAGAAATACCAAATACATAACAAAAATTTATCACAAACTTAGTAGTTACCAGAGGACAACATCAAAGTTCAATCTCAAAAGCCCTGTTGTAACCCGAGCCATAAAATCACATCGCATGGCATACGTTACACGTAGGTTTAATGCAAGTTCTGTATTAAACATGTACGATTTTGCAAGTGACTGACACTTTCCTTTAAATATTCAACTCTGGATATATTTAAATATATATTATATGTATTTTTCAATATACCAAATTTCACTGAGAGCCATTTAAAGAGTATACTCATTGAAATAGTGTATACCACATTTCAACAGATTCAAGAATGCATTTCTATATAAAATTGCATTTGATTATTTAAATAATTTTGAAAAGTCAGAGGGGGGGGAAAAGGTGAAATTGTATAAGCCTTAAGAAATAGTTTCTGCCCCAGCAAAATCAAGCCCAACATTTAAGACGAGGCTAACAGACACATGTAAATCAGGGAAAAATCATTCAGAACTTACGATGAACAGAAAAGACTTTCCTCCCGCAAAAAAAGTTTCAGCAACCAACAGATGAAATTAAAACTTAACATACAGACATCCTCAGTGAAGGATGCTTTGAGGAAAATAATAAAATTGTGTGACCGGAATTCTTGTGTTCAAAATTTTATATCCAAAATCTACTTTATGCTACACTATTTTCTTCATCCTCCACCTACCAAGACTAAAGTACTTCCTAGGACAGGCTGATTTATTTCCTTCAACTGTAGACATTAAACCTGCCTCAAACTTGCTAGCGCAAAGACTACGGCCAGCAGAAAACAGATAGGCCGCCATGCCAAACCAGCAGCAAACATGGGAATTTCTTTCAAGCCACCACAATGTAGCCGGCTCACTCAGCCATGCTGCCAGCTCCCCGAATCAAAGGCCGGTCTCACGGGGTCAGCAGCCAGGGCAGCTACTTGAGGCCCCCAGCGACGGGAAGGCTCTGTTAAGTGAAGGAAGACGCACTGTATGGCTGGGAAAGAGCTATAGGTTAACTTCTCCAGGCTCTTACGACTTATGTCAGCTCCACCAAACACTCCGTTAAGCATAATTAAAAAAAAAAAAAAATTCTTATTAAAAGAATTATATAATATGAGCTTAGGGCTGGGATGTTCAACTGATAAAAAGGTCAGGAAATTCCCAACCGCAAATCCATAAAAAACCCACAGTGATACACATATGCAAACTTCAGTTCTTGGCTGTCTTGGTATAGGCACAGCTTTACTGGAATTCATCTTGCAATGCACATTTACTTCATAAGGCATAGTCCTAGGTTAGCATGAGGATTTTAACACTTCGTGTGCTTTTATAACGCTAAAGGGATAAGACCTCAGTATCGCAGTTGTATGAGCACGAAAGTTACCATCCCATTTCAAGGGCATTTTTTTTTTTCCACATCAAACACACACAGTCCCAATAGCAGATCTGTCTTGCACTTTCAGGGAATACAAATGATGCATAAAATTGCTAAGACTAGTTGTACTCTCGGGAGAATTGCTGCATGACGATGGCAATCCTGAAACCCCCCCAAAACAGAACTTGCAGACGTTTATGATCAAGCATATCTGTTCCTAAACCTTTTCAGATCAAACACCAGGCTGGAGTGCAACTCTGCTAATAAATGTAAATAAATAGCTTAAAGTTGGCAAAGCAATTATAAATGCTCAGTTTGCAAAGCAGCTGTGATTTTTTCATTCCAGTATGCTATAAACAAGTATTTCAGCGCTCGCTCCCCCTGCCTTCGTATCAAGCCCATATGTTCTTTTTATGTTAAACTCAGCAGGAGGGGTTCATGTCATTTAACTTAAGACTTCTACAGTGCAGACATCTACATCAGAGTTTGTCACTCTAGGTCCTTTTTAGAGTCAATGGAGAGAAGTTGGTACTTCTGTGGTGTGATTCACCTCCCTCTAAGATAGATGGCTAAAATAGGTCAGATGAAACGCAGCATGCTAAGTGCCTATTCCTCTTCACTGACCGTAAATAGCGCCCAGACAATTAGCTTAGATATACACGTCTACACAGGGGTCATATAAAGCTGAGCGAGATGAAGCCCATCGCAACACGTGTTTCTTCTCTGCAACTATTACCTACGGAGCATTAGAAATTAATTTATCTACAGTTGCCTTTTGTAGTTCTAGGAATATAAAAAGATATATAACTATTAACTTTGTTATTTCCCCACTCCTCTTGCAATGACCACAGCTCTGAAGTTTTGTGCTGAGATGCCAGAATATGCCCCCCCAAGTGTGATATAGAGATAGATGAGAAAGATAAATAAGAAAGAACATCAAAGTGTGGCAAAACATTAGGAAGCATACAAATCTGTCAGCATGTGAAAACTGCATTACAGCCATTCTCCTTTCATTAATTAAAAGTGGTTTCAATATGATGAAGTTCTTAAATACTGATGAGAGCTGCCAGAATTGAAGTTATTAAAGTCAGTGCAATACAACCCAGGCATATTTGTCAGCCAAGTAAACCCACAGCTAAGCGTGCAGCTCCAACACATGCTAAAAACCTCATAGTTGCACAGAAAACGTGACATCCCATCAATTACAGGATTAGAGAGCTGGTTGGTTACAGTTGCTTTCAATGATAATGTACCTATTCATTCTATAAAATGGTAATTATTATATCAAGCTGGATATGTTAATATTAAAACAGAAGACTTGACTTGCTGAACTACACAATACAAATTAACATTCATGTGGGATTTTATAATCTGAATCTCATTTACTTACAAACACTCTGACCCAAACCACTGAACGTATCAACTTAGGTTTGAAATAAGAAGTCTTTTCAAAATTTCTGATCACACAACTTGAAGGGGAAGCTGAAAAAAAATTTTTTTTACAAAAAAATCCAACACACATTATTCCACTACAATGGCTTTTGTTCTCTTTCTGAATCTCAAAAGATTACTAAACCACTTAACTGTATTAAAATCAGACTGAAAAACCTGTCTCTTTTTTCAGCCTCAAAAGGAAATCAAGGCTTTTTTTGAAACAAAACTGGCATCAGAACTAAGATAATATAAAGTTAAGTACCACAGAATTACAATTTCCAAGGATAGAAAGAAGTCAACGTTTTTTAAGAAATAATTTTTTTACCATGGAATTGTCATACATGCAAAACTACTTCCCCACCTGAGTCCAAGCTTTAGAAGATAAAGGATGAAATTAGACCTGAGAAGAACCAAAACTGTTAATGAAGGCAATGGATACACAACCAAATTAAAGAGTATTTTTATAACAAATCCTGTACATTAATTCAAATCAATAAAATTATGTGGGAGGGGGGCAGGACAAGAACATTTTTCTGATTTCAACATAAAGTTTCAAGTATAACATAGCACAGTTTTCCTAGGAAAAAATTTCAGTCCCAGTTCAGATCACCATTTTAAGGAAGTTTTTCTTTTTAATTCAAGAGAATATATTAAACATTTTAGGAACTTGGATGCATTGGCTTTAATCATTCTACATTCTATAAATACTTCCTCAAAAGCAAAGATGTAAATAAAACTATTTTAGACATTGTTAGTACATTTGGTTGCCTCTGGGACATTGTTCTTAATCTAAGATGATAATGCGGAAAGTAGAAAAGACACTGTTGAACGTATCATGTTCGTTCACGTAACTTGCTTCCAGCTCTCTTCACTAGAACAACTACAGGTCTCAGTCACGCTCCATTTAAAAATTACCATTTCAGTTTCTTAGAGCAGACGGAGAACAAGCTAAACTACTATTTATTTTTTACTTTAGAAGACTCATTCCTTCTCAAATCCCAAAGAAAAAATGGAAACTATGTGACCCATGCATAACACAGACCAGAGTCGTGCAAAGCCACCAAGGCAAGTCTTCCATTTTATCTGATTTATTTCTGAAATATTCCTGTTATTCTATTCATGTTTGTCTTGCACAGAAACTGCTAAGCTGTGCTGAAGCTCTGCATAATATTTTTACAGTTTAAACTCAGGTGTTCAAATTAAGCCTCTCATTTAGAATCTGAATCCGCCACGCACCAAAACCTGGACCTTACAGTACTAAGTTAAAAAAACACAAGTACAACCACACTTGTAAAGCCAAGTGTGTTTTCACTGACTAATTTACACTAGCCTCATCTGAATCATCACTGCCCAGAAATAATTATGTATTTTAAAACACTAGCATTTATATTTTTATATATTTTTGAACTCTCTAACCCTCACTGGAACTCCACTCTTTCAGTAAGATGACCATCGTAGATCACATTAAGTTTTCACCCGTAAACATCCATCCTTTTGTGAGTTGATGCAACTCAACAGTTTACCTGTGCTAATTTTGCCTATGCCGAGCATTAAAAACCTTGACAAATACTTCGTAAGCTGCTACCACTTTGCCGGAAACAATATAGCTGATGTTGAAGGCAAAGAATTTCCTTACATGGGTGGAGGTAACAACAAAATTAGACCTAA